GCCATTTTTTGGCAATCTAAAAATTTATAAATTATGCTTTATTAGATTTTTCCATCTCTTTTATGGATTTAAGGTTTTGTGTAATGCATTGAAGGGCTTCCTGCAGTGCAAAGTTTTTATTGTAATATCCCCCCCCCCCCCCATCATTTTAGCATGTCCTTTTAGTCACATATTCTTGATTTATGTCTTGGTCTATTTCTTGACTTTGTAGTCTTTGTTTCCCCTTTAATTTTAAGCCATTACAGTGTATTTTAATATCTTGTGCATCTCATTCTCCCTCATTTGTCCTTTGAGTTTTTTACTTCTTTCATTGTTTATAAGCCAAAGTTAGCTTCATTATAATTTTGTCAGGTTTCTTACAAATTCATTGTTGATGATTTCTTGGATCTTGAGTTAATGTTTTAACAGGAGTGAATTGTCTTATTTAAGAGCAAAGTCTGTCTGCCCTGGCTGGTGTGACTCAGTGGTAGAGAGTTGGCCCATGGACAGTAGGGTCTCGGGTTTGATTTTGGTCAAGGGCACATTCCTGGGTTGCAGACTCGTTCCCCATCTCCTGTCGAGGTCCATGTGGGAGGCAATCAATCAATGTGTCTCTCTCATATCAATGCTTTTTTCTCTCTTTCTCTTTCTCTCTTTCCTCCCCTCCCACTCTCTAAAAATCAATGGAAAAATATCCTCGGGTGAGCGTAAGGTGTGTCTTTCTGTATATCTGTAGAACAAGGATGATCCTCTGAGTAAAATTGTTGATGTGGTTTCAGATTTCGCAGTGCAACTAACTTAATCACTTGTTGATTTTTGGTGTAGTATCACAGAATATCCAGTTATATGGAAAGGTTATTGTATGAAGCGCTCCTCCCTCTTCCACCTCTGTGTCTGTAGGAGGCTGGATTTTCTTCTTACACTTGAACTAAAACAACATACTGTAGCAGACCAGATACAGACGCAGACGTGAGAGTCCACTGTCTTAAGTCAGCCAGTAATCTAAAGCAGTGCTACTTCTCTCATTAAGTTTTTATTGTTTGGAAATTGTATTTATTTTTCATGAAAATATTATTTATGTTAACATTAATGCATATATTGTCATTTAAAAATGAATTAATAATGAATTGTTTTTAAATCTTCTCAGTTTTAATTTCTAAAAGAGTAACTTTCAGTAGCATGACCCACATAGACAAAGCTTCTTGTGGTTCACATTCAATTTTAAGAAGATAAAGGGGTGCTGAGTCCAGAAAATTTGGGAACCACTAAGTTGAGCTACTGACCAGCAGGGCAGTTTGTTGTAGGGGAAGTGGTGAGCTTTGGCGTCAGCAGCCAGGTTCAAATTCCAGATATGCGATTTCCTAGGGACAAATTATTTTTAACTCCATTGGGTAAATTTTTCTTCTTGAGACCTGGTTTTCTCACTTGTAAAAATGGCAATGAAAAAGCTGTTTTAGTTGTTAAAGGTTAAGTAGTTTGATGCTGCCTTGTAATTTATTAGGTGTTACAATGACAGGTATGACTATGTCCAATCATTTTTTAAAAAGAGATTGTGAAATTACTTAAAGATGTTCTGCCCATATGTATAAAATATTCATGTCTAAAATCTTTTCACTTGTGACTTCATACACATTTTCAAGTATACATGTAAACTTACGTTTTTACAATTAGGAAAGCAGTAAAACTAATTCAGAACGTATACTTAGGCATCATGAGACAGATGGTAATCCTATAAAGAGATGGCCTATATTTTTAGAAGTGCAAACAGAAAAACAGATACTCTTAAAAATTCCAGAGTAATCTTTGCCTAGAAAATGGGATGCGATGAAAGACCATCTACTAGCCTAATAGAACTTTTTATAGTTTCTCATGTCTAAAATTGAATCTTACTTAGTGTTAGTATTGAGTTGTATATGGATTAGTAGTTGAAAAAGAAATAATCGATCAAGTAGATAATTGCCAAGTCCTTTTACTGTGGTGATAAGTCTCTTGCTTTCTATGAAATGGATGTAGTAGTGGGAAACAGAACCATGTGACCCCAAATTTAGTGGGGTTAATTTATATGTGAATACTTGTCACCTGGGAGCAATTATGTAACACATGAGCCTCAAGGTGCCTATCATTGTAGAGCAGTGTTCTTATTAGTTCACTCCACTGTTCGTTCAACACATACTTATTGAGTACTTTCTTTGGGCCAGGTGTAAGCTCGGTGCTAGGGATAAAATGTTGAGAAGAAGATTGACACAGTCTCTGTTAGGATGATAGACATTAGTCAGATAATTATACAAACAAGTCTAAGCATACATACTAGATGGGAATTCTAGGCAGGAGAGGGATACAGCCTTCTGAGAGCCTGGGATTGGGGGATTTCACATAGGAAGAGAAGGATGTGTTTCTTTAGGAATTGAGAGATGAGCTGAAGTTTGAACAAATTAAGAAGAGGAGAGTGAAAAAAACCCCACACACAACACATTTCAAATCAAAGGGCCAGTAGCTTAAAAGTTCTATACTTAGACTGTGATGAATATGGATGCTTTCAGTGTGAGTGGAGCAGAAATCAAGTCAAGAATGGACATACCATGTAGGATCTCATGGGCCACATTATGGAGGTTTATTACTTTATTCTAAATAATGATAAAATTGTCCTTTCACGTGAGGAACGAGAGAGTGAAGGTGGTCAGGGTATCATTAACATACCTGATTAGAATTGCATGTCTAAAATTCATTTACTCATAATTACTGAGCATCTCCTACACCCTTGGTCTGGTCCTAGGCTCTTGGAAGACATCAGTGGGTAAAATAGGGTTAAAATCCCTGCTTTTGTAAAGCTTACATTCTTCAATATAAAGAGGTGGAGAAAGACAAAGGACATAATAAATCCGACTAACGTGATGCAAACACATTATACATCTTTTTACCAGAAAGCCAATTTGTTCATTTTTGCTTACTATTTATTTCCTTGTCTCTTACTATTTCTGTTGATATTTTTCTTGTTTTTATTTTTTATTTTTATAATTTAACATGACTATGTGTGCTACTTTCTTTTTTATTTTATTTAAAAAAAATTTTTTTTATTGATTTCAGAGAGGAAGGGAGAGATAGAAACATCAATGATGAGAATCATTGATCAGCTGCCTTCTGCACGCCCCCTACTGGGGATCGAGCCCACAACCCAGGCATGTGCCCTTGACTGGAATCGAACCCGGGACCCTTCAGTCCACAGGCCGGTGCTCTGTACACTGAGCCAAATCAGCCAGGGCACATAAGCTACTTTCTAATGGCAGATAGTAATTCATCTTAATTATATATAAACAAAATATCTAAATTCTGTTCCCTCCAATAGGCTTCTTATTCTTGTCAAAAGAGATTAGGTATTGTGATATGTCTTACTTTGAGTACAAAACCTATACTGTCTACGTAAAAGGAGTGACTTGCCAGCTGAAGTACATTGTCATTATATTATCTAATTTTTATGAATGTCTGTATTTTTGTCAAACAAATAATATATGTTAATAAATGTTACATGTTTATGCTTTGATAGAAGGTAGTGGTACTTGGATACTGAGTTCCTGATATACAATAATGTTAAAAAGTAACTGGTGTTCCAAATATTTATATGTATTTTATTTTTTGCAACATGCTCAAAAACATAGGACATGACAATAAGACTTTTTAAAATTGCTTCTTTATAGAGATAATGTTGCTGATCCCCCCAATAAGTTGTCTGATCTGATTGTTTTTACTATAAATGATTTCACGTAGATTCTGTCTACACAGTAAGCAAGTTCCATCTATAACTAAACATTTGTAAGACACCTCCTTTCAACTGCTACTGTGTTATCATCACTATATCACTAATGAATTTGTATTATAATTTATCCATTGATCAATCTCCTACTGGATTATGAGGCCATAAACCCTTTATTAATCTACACTTTACCACACAGTGCTGGGTATATAGTAGGGCTTTGTAAATGCACAATGAATTAACGAATGCCATCAAGGTTAGGGGAGGTCAGAATCTTAATTTTTTTAGCATTTTGCTCAAGTTCAAGCTTGTTACATTATACTTTCATGGTTGCACAAACTGTAGGACATGGCCACAGAGGAAATAAACCATGCGAAGTAAACAGAATGATTTCTGTGATCAGCTAATATGAGTTAGGAAGCCACATTTTTTTCCTCCGAAATGACTTTCAGAAAGTCTCTACAGAATTGAAATCCTGTCATTTCAATGATGGAACAGTGTACAAAAAAGTTTAGAAATTATGTTTCTGGATACAGAAGTAAAAATTTGCCATTGGACATTGCAAAAATAAGAAGAGGAAGACATGATAATTCTGGAACTATGCTTCATGATCTTCTTCCTAGTAGATCTCCACTGACCATACCCAATTGTACGGGAGTGCCAAAGGTGGGGCACCGGGCCGGGGGTAGGGGGCGTGGGGGGAAGAAGGTGAGTGGGCCTGGAAGGGAGAGAGCAGCATTGCTGAACTTTCCTAGAGAGCGTATCACAGATTGTGGGATACTTTTATCTCTTCATTTTTACAGATGTTTATATTTTTAAAAACATGTATAAGTTGTTGAGGAATCCACTAGGCTTGATATTCTCTAAGTTTTCATAGTTCCTCCTCCTCCTCTAAGTGTTTGCTGTTTGTGGGACACACACTGGTGACTGGGCCCTGTGTGAATTAGTGCTGAAGGTGAGCATTAGGAAAGACCAAAACTCTGACCCATAATTCAGGAGACAACAAAAAGCAAGGTCTAAAAAGAAACAGGTAGATTAGGGTTTGTTCTTTAAGCATTATTTGTCAAATGCTGATTACATAGGAGGCACTGATCTATTTTGCTGGGTGACATGGGGGCGGGCGGGGAACCCTGTTCTAATGGACCTGACTTTCTTATGAACATACCTGGGTATCTTTGTTCAAAAGCTAAAGGATTGAAACTGAGTAAGATAAAAGTTTTGTGAAAAATTTTTTAATGTGACCTTTTAATAATGTTTATTTTTTTTATTTTAGAAAATGGCTCCAAAGGGTAAATGAAGCTGGAAAAATATGCAGATGCAGCGTTGCATATGGCTTGTCCTGGTGCTCAAGGACAGTACTCCAGAGAGAAATTGATTCCCTTGGATTCGGTCATCAGTCATAATGAAGAAAATCAGTCTTAAAACCTTCCGGAAATCTTTCAACTTGACTAAAAGTAAAGAAGAAGCGGATTTCATGGTAGTGCAACAGCCCTCACTAGCCAGTGATTTTGGAAAAGAAGATTCCTTGTTCGGTAGCTGTTATGGGAAGGACATGGCCAGCTGCGACATCAACGGTGAAGATGACAAAGGGGCCAAAAACAGATCCAAAAGTGAGAGCCTCATGGGTACGTTAAAAAGACGGCTTTCTGCCAAGCAGAAGCAGAAGGGCAAGGGCAGCGGCCCCTCCGGGAGCTCTGCTGACGAGGACACCTTCTCCTCCTCCTCAGCACCCCTAGTCTTTAAAGATGTGAGAGCTCAAAGGCCCATCCGGTCCACGTCCCTCCGCAACCATCACTACAGCCCTACACCATGGCCTCTGCGACCCACAAACTCCGAGGAGACATGTATCAAGATGGAGATGAGAGTCAAGGCCTTGGTCCACTCTTCCAGTCCGAGCCCAGCCCTGAACGGGGTTCGCAAGGACTTTCATGACCTTCAGTCGGACTCGGTGTGCCAGGAACAGAACAGTTCCCTGAAGAGCTCAGAGTCTCAGAACGGAGACCTGCACCTTCACCTTGATGAGCATGTGCCTGTCGTTATCGGACTTATGCCTCAGGACTACATTCAGTATACTGTGCCTTTAGAGGAGGGGATGTACCCTCTGGAAGGACCCCGCAGCTATTGTCTGGATGGGTCTTCTCCCATGGAAGTCTCTGCGGTCCCTCCCCCCGGGGGAGGGAGCTCCTTCCCCGAAGATGAGAATCAGGTCGACCAGGAGCTTGTGGTGGCCCCAGAGATCTTTGTGGATCAGTCGGTGAACGGCCTGTTGATCGGCACCACGGGGGTCATGCTGCAGAGCCCCAGAGCAAGTCACGACGATGCCCCTCCACTCTCACCGTTGCTACCTCCAATGCAGACGAATCCGATCCAAAGGAACTTCAGCGGGATCACCGGCGCAGACGCCCACGTGGCGGAGAGTATGCGCTGTCATTTGAACTTCGATCCTAACTCTGCCCCTGGGGTTGCCAGAGTTTATGACTCAGTGCAGAGTAGTGGGCCCATGGTTGTGACAAGCCTTACGGAGGAGCTGAAAAAACTTGCAAAACAAGGATGGTACTGGGGACCGATCACACGCTGGGAGGCAGAAGGGAAGCTAGCCAATGTGCCCGATGGCTCTTTCCTTGTTCGGGATAGTTCTGATGACCGTTACCTTTTAAGCTTGAGCTTCCGCTCCCATGGCAAAACACTTCACACTAGAATCGAACACTCAAATGGTAGGTTTAGTTTTTATGAGCAGCCAGATGTGGAAGGACATACGTCTATAGTTGATCTAATCGAGCATTCAATCAGGGACTCTGAAAATGGAGCTTTCTGCTATTCCAGGTCTCGGTTACCTGGGTCTGCAACTTACCCCGTCAGACTGACCAATCCAGTGTCCCGGTTCATGCAGGTTCGCTCTTTGCAATACCTGTGTCGCTTTGTCATACGTCAGTATACCAGGATAGACCTAATTCAGAAACTGCCTTTGCCTAACAAAATGAAGGACTATTTACAGGAGAAGCACTACTGAAATTAGGGGAGCCCCGCGTCCTGCACTTTGGGAGGAAGGATAAGAGATTGAAATACAGTTTACAGATGTTCATTGCTATCAGAATCTTTGCTGCCATACTATTTCAGTTTTATATGTAAAAGAGTAATCAATTTGTTTTCAGGTGGGAAGTGTGGGCAAGGTGTCTTGGTTTTATTTTGGTTCTTTAAAAAGGGAATCTTGAGGCTTAACAAGTGTGAGTTCTCTTTCATCAATGTGCAGAATAATCACAATGTGAATTATCAAATTCTCCTTTCCCCCACCCCCCGTCCTTTGCTGCTAGCCACTGTGATTTTTATGCATTAAAAGCACATTTCATGTGTATTCAACCCTAAGTAAAGTTGAATGAAACTTACAGAATGAAAATTGTCATGTCTCTTTAAATGACCCATTTTCAAAGATAGTGTTGAGTAATCATACCCTTGTCATAGAACACAGAATTTACACGTACACTGAAGATGATTTTTTAATCTCATACTTGAGAAAGATTAATTTAGAATTATGAATTGATGTAATCTTGGGTACTGGAATGTGGACCTGCAACTTATCTTTTATAACACTCATTTCTAAATTATTTTAAAGGCTGTGCTGTTTTTTTGTTTTGTATTGTGAAAGTTTGAATTTTTCTGTTGCCTTCATTTTCATCTTGTGATTTGTCTATTTTAATAAATGGCCTTACATTAAAAAATCATAAAGAAATGCATATCACCAGTTTAGAAATTGTTGCCTTTTCTGTCCTTAAGCTCTGGTACAAATTGGCATAACAAAGCTCTATGGAACTAGAGATATTAAAGAAGTACTAGATGGTCATAGTTTTCTGTGATAGCAGTTTTTTGTGTTATCTTTATTTTCCTTTGCTAAAATGTTTTTTGTGATTTCTTTTGCTTAGTCAACATTTTCTTGGGTGAACTTGATATATAGAATTGATTTTTATAAATGGACTAGATTCTGTTGGAACATTCAAGTTTCTATAAAATTTAAACTGATTTGAATAGAAAGAAAACATTCTTTTAAAGTTGGATTTATGTTTTCTTATGTGTAGTCACTATTACGATGTGCTAGATTTGACCCTTCATTCATCCCACCAAGAAAACAAACAACAAACCCAGTGACTTTAGTTGAGAAGTTGTAGAAATTGCGAACACCATGTAAGAAAAACTGTATCAGATATATGGTAGTCTTGTTGCCTTCCATATATACTGCCACTTAAAAACAGGTTTTTATTGTTTTTTGGTGTTTTTTTTTAAGTCTTAGGTAAATTGGCATTGTTAGTTATTTTAACTTTTAGATTCAGGTTTTTTTTGTTTGTTTTTTTGTTTTGTTTTTTTGGAGGGGGGTGATATCCCCAGTACTTTATAGTTATTTTGAAATGTAGGGTTTACTCACTTCATGATTCTTTAGTGTAGTATTTTGGGATTGCCTCATCCAGAAAATGTTTTCATTTCAGATGCAACATGTAATTTAAGACTGTTCTACCTTTGTCACTCAGTTTTCCTAGCTCGCCCCCCCCACCCCCCCGGTTTAAGAACAAGCGTAAAGGTCTTAGGTCAAGCTTAATGGCTTTGTCATTCAGACATAGTAGTATCCCTTTTTTTCTCTATTTGTTTTTTAGGGTCACAACTGAGAATTAAGAAGAAAAGGCACAATGCCATAACATCGTGTGTTATGGTATTTTAACTTAAAGGGGGAAAGGTACTTAATTTTGGTGGAATGTTGATCGTACCTTGTTACAAAGCCTCATTTTCTGATGTTTTCACCTAAGAAGATGGGAGTGTTGAGTATACTGTAATAATATAATTTAAGTGTTCGCTATAAGCTATTTGGATTAAGAACTATTACAGAGTTGTAAACTTATCAAATTAATGCAAGACATTTAAACTATTTTTTTGCAAAACTATTTATTTTTAAACAATCTAAAGTCTATCTAGGGTGAGTTAAAAGTCCCTGTGCATCTATATTAGATGGCAGGTATTGTCACAGAGTCACTGTGTATTAATAATAGATGTTGAGATGGCTTCTCCATGTTTCTAGAAGCTTTTACATGTATGTACCCTTTGTGAGATCACGGTGCACAGAGGTCTTTGGACTGCCCAGAACCCCATCTCAGCATGCGGGCGTAGCCTGTTCCTTACATTTTCCTCATGGGAATGTGTTTAAGATCTAGCCATTTAGTTTCAAGTTAAGATTACTCTGATTTTCATCTGAATGTTTTTAAAATTGTATTTTGTGTTTTTATGGAGGGCAAGTGTTGATACTCTTCTAATTTAGAAAGTCAGTTCTTACGTGCTTTTGTATATTCGTATATCAAATTCTTTAAAATGCCCTATTCTAATTGAATTTGAAATTCCTAGGGTCTGGTACTGTGTTGATAAAAATAAAAGTATTTGCCAAGAAATTATTTACACACAAAGAGAGAAGTATTGCAGTATTTTCTGCTTTTGCCTAGAGAGAACCATTTGGAGTAGGCAATGCAATATAATAGGAAAGATTGGCTTTATAGGATCCTAAAACAGTCTGGTTAAAAATGGGAAGGGGAAAAGAGATAAATGTTCATCCTGTAGTTTGGTCTAGCTACAATTTGGATAAATTTCTGGATTATATTGAATGATGGCTTAGATGACATGGACACAAGCAGGAGTGATTTTTAAATGTGATTCTAAAAGTCTGAACTCAAGGCATGAAAGAAAACAAAGCTGTATCCTTTTGCCATGATAAAATGAATCCGCTGTTTTTATCAAATATTTCATCAAAAACCATGATGGAGGCCAGAGCTATTTCCAGGCTTACTAGGACACTATTACGCATTTTTATAAAAAGAAAGCATAGAGAGTACTTGAAAAATATCTCACTCTTTCTCTTCTAAAGAAAACCATTATCTTTCTACTTGGTGCAATAACCTGAAGATTTCAAAGTCAAAAGTATCATATCACAGGAAATGATCACAGAACTAAAAATAGTTTTTAAGGAAGTCAGCTGCACAGGGCAAACTTCTTGCTATGAAGAAAATCGTGTGCCAAAGGCTAACTCATTGGCACACAGGAAATACAATCAAGTATACATTTTCATTTCTGAGCCAGTATTATTGAAACAGGACAAAAGTTACTAACATCTTAAATAGAGATTATATGCCATGTCTCTGCTTGTGCTGAAGTCTAAGTATCTTTCTTAACAGTGCTTTCAGAAACGCCAGTCTTAATCATTGTACATTTCACATTGTATACGAGAGATTTGCTTTATGAGTGATTCCGATAACATATTTTCAAATCTTAGTGGGTTTTCATCAAATATGCAGTCTGATTTTGAAATTGAAATCTCTACCAGCATTAGACAGTTTTGTTGAAAACTAATAAGGAACAATTGCCAGTTCCGTAAATAACTTAAAAATTCTAAAGTATGAGTATGCTAGTAATCACAAATTTGGTTTCTTCAAATACTTTTTTAATCCTGCAAAGATGGTTTTTTATAAACATCCTTTGTATTAATTAGTCACAACATGGCAGATGCATAGCTGCTGTTTCTGAAAAGTGATCCAAACAGTCCATCCAGAGGTGATGAGAAATTCTTACAGAATTTTGTAATAGGTATACACGTTGGGTTAAAGGAATTTTGTAGTCGTTGGAGTGCCATGGAATTAATCCTTGCAATCCAGATTGCTGTAGTTTACACTTTTCTGTATGTTTCCAATCAGGTGTGTATCATTTGTACGAGAACACCACACAATGAATTATCCAAAGTCCATTGATTTTAATACGTGTTTTGGTTTGTACACGAATTATAGTAATTTCTTGCACATTTTTGGAAATTAATTGTATAAGAATTTATGTATCTGCTTCTAGATACAGTATGTAAATAAAAATTTCGTTCCCAAGATCTGCCTTGTAGTGTATTTAATAACCAGGTGCAGATTTTAATTCATGGAGGGTTAAGTAGATAATTTTTAGATGTCCCATAAATGGGGCTGAGACTGGAGGGTAGGGACCAGCAAATTTTAGTAAAAAGGGGAAAGTGAAATAGTGTCATTCAAGGGAACATCAAATTAGGAGTCAGCCAATGTTGCTAATGTCTTTAAGCCTTCGACAAAGGCTGGAGAGAATAGGCAGAACATTTAAACAAAGAATCATTAAAATTAACAAGAAAATTGGATTGTGACATTTAAAAAAGTATGTCTCTTATTACTTAATAGTATTTCATGGAACTAGAACCAGGTTATCCAAGTACATTGTATAGAAGTTAGATATTCACAGACAAGAATGATTTCTCATATCACTTAATTTAATGACATGCTTTTAAAGTTCTTAAACTCCATATTGGATTAAAGGTTCACTTTAAAATTTCTTCTATTTTTAATAAGTACTTTTAAAATCCTAGTTAATTCAAAGATAAATTGTAAAATAACCTTGTTTGGAAATATCACAGATTTTGACTTCCTTAGAATCCAAATAACATGGCATTCTGATGCTCAGAGCTGGTCTCGGGCAACAGCACTGACTTTAATTTTAAGGTCGTATTAATCTGCTGGTGGTGGTGCTGAAATACAAAATGATGGGAAGAGAATGGGCTGGCCTCAAGTGTAAGAGGCTAGACTTTACAAACTTACACCATGCCAGGAAAACAGTTTTATTCTCATCTGCCCCTTCTTGAAGTCCTTCAACAGATAGAGCAATTGGGAGTGACTGGGTGCTTGTGCTTTCAAAAAGCTCAGCCCGGAGAAGCGCAAGTGCGCGCACACACACACACACATGTGTTCATGCTCTCCACAAAGATAAAAGACCCTTTGCCACAGTAAATGACTTGTTGAGAATCTGGAGTCAACCTCTGGACTTCATACTTTTTCATCATGCTGACCATAGCCAATTTCTTTTATTCCCTGCCACCCCACCTTTAACTTACCTCACAGGTTTTACTTACCCTTTCACTAGGCTTTTAACTTTCTGAACCAAAATATTTTAACTTTTATTTCACTTGAATTTAGTCCTTACTGTCTGCTATTTTAACCTCCAGTCTAGGTTTTTATAAATATGTTTTTTAAATATTTAGCTTTATTTAAATTTTATTATTAAAAATTATTTGATTCTTTCAATTTTTTCATATCCCAATTTCCAGTTGTAAGGGTTTCCTGACCTGAAACTTTTTCAAAAATTTGACTCTTGTGTTCCTACTTTGTACATGACTTGTCTTGCTAATGAATGGGTGTTTCTGGCCAGCAGCTTTGTTCCCTCTATTCTCCCCCAACACCTCCTCGAAGGCGTCCCGGCCCTGTGGAGTAGTAGGGTTGGTTAGGCAGACTCCTGAAGTTATTGTTGCTTAAGCTGCGTTTTCCCTACTTAATACCAGGCCACCTCACCAGCTCTTCTGGAAGAATGGGGTCCCCCCCAGAACAGGCTCCCTCAGATGGTAAAAGCGGAGGCGAGGCTTGCCAGCCTGTGGGTTATTTGATAGGGGTCGTGAACAGCACAAGTTGCCTTGCCTAGAGGTCATTTGGGACCAGCAAATCCTGTCCTTGGTAACTGGCTTGCAAATTAGGGTAAATCTTAAATTGAAAAGGAAACTCTTTGATGGTGTGACCTGGATTTCTCCACACCAGGAGAGTTCTAGGAAGCACAGGTCTCTATACAAGGCTGTTTCTGACCTCTAACTTGGCTTTGTGAACCTAATAGACATGAGGATTTGGTTACACTAGCCTAGGTCACATGTGAATTTATACAGCGTTCTTTAAATGTATGGCATTTCATCCTGGAATCCCAGTAAGAACAGCCCCTGTGTTCCTCGTGTAAATAATGTGTTCTCTAGCCCCTCCCCTGCAACAGTATCTCCAGCCCTCTCCATGGCGAACTGGCGTGCTGAGGCTCCTGCTCACCTGACGCCTTTGCCACAGCCCTTCTCTCCTCACTGCAGTCCTTGGCAACCTGGCTTTCTTGTGGCTGGCAGGTGGTGAGCAGCATTTGGCCCAGAGATTTATCAGCCTGATAGTGGCCATGGGATGTGACAGTTGCCTAGAAAACCAGTAGATTATGTATCTGTACACACAGGAGAATCCATTGCTCCACAACAAATAGGCTCTCCTGGGATCTAGTTATTGGAATCAACAGCTCAAACTAGACAGCTGGATTTTATACCCAAAGTCTCTTGCCTGTTTGTATAGCCTTAGACTCCTCTCTCCCTGGGACCCACACTTTCTTTCCTTCTCCCCCCCCTTTTATTTTGCCACACTTTCTTTAGATGTTGTATACTTAAGTTCATATAGTGCCCAGTAAAGAAGATATGCTCACAGAACCCTTAGAAGATATCTCTCAATGTCAAATCTGAATGACTGTGTTCCTATTACAAATTCACCATTAACTGTATGGTATGGTCCAGTGTTAATGAATTCGTTCATCATTTCATTCACTCAGAAAGGAAGTATTGAGCTCCTAGGATGCCCAGGACTGTGAAAGTAATTTCAGTGACATGAGTAGCAAGGAAGGACAGGGTTCAGCAAGACCTGATCTTGAGGGGAGGGGTGGTGAGTAGGGAATAGAATGTAGTTCATTCCATCTTCAAAGGGGGAATGCTTTTGGTTCCCCAAACCATTAAAATATGATGGCTTGGTGGGTGGGACTCAGGGACTCCAGCCAGGATTTCCTTGCTGTTCCCACCCTCTCTTTTCACCTAAAGTCTCTGGACGTCACCTTTATTCTCTAGCTTTCCCATGTGGTGGTCTCTACATGCGTAGGTGAGGGATCTAGCGACTGGCAGCCCTGTGGTCACATTGTTAGAGTTTTGTAATCAGCAAGGAAAGGGAGTTTCTTTTCTCTAAGGTTCTAGCTAAGACTCCAAATTGCTTCAACTGCATCACATGTTCATTTTCTACCCCAATCACTGTGGTGGCCAGAATCATGGACTTGTCAGATGGGTGGAGCTGAGCCTTAGGGCTCCTGTGGTCAAGAAACAGGAGCCGGTTCCAACAAGACTTTCTCCCTCCTTACTCCCAGTGGGGAAGGTGGTATCTGAATGCTCCATTCAAGGGGGAAGTGTTCATACATAAAGGAAATGTGCTAATGAAAGAAAAGATTTGAAATATGTATGAAAATGTGGGCGCTTTCCCACGGAGAATTTTGTATTAAATATGATCCATTTATATGAAGCATATGTAAATATTGTGGTAGACCTTTCACATTCTTCTGAGGTAATTGACTAAGGTGACTTATATTTAGGTTATGCCTAAATACAGGGTGGGGCAAAAGTAGTTGTGTGTATATTTGGATTTTTTTCATAGAATAGTGCAATTATCTGGCCAACTCATCCCTAGCAGGTAATAGAGTATCTGGTGTGCAGATGTGGGACAGTAAACCAATATTGACCATTTCTTGGAAAATCATGTGAAAACATTTGAAATCTTTTAAGTGCCATGTGATTTTTTAAAGACCCTCAGCTTATTGATCCATTAATGGCTGATAAAATCATTGATTGAAAGGTTTCCTCTGTTTGCTCACTGCGAGAACCCACCTCTAGTCAGAATTGTTATGTTGTAGTTTTCTCCAACTACCATTTATTAACCTTGTAAATCTGTTGATTATGTTGATCGATGCACATCGAGTTTTGATAGAGATAAAAGGAAATGTAAAAATCACGTCAGAATAAAGCCTCTCCCAATTTTTTGGGACAAGGGATTATATAAAGTGAGAAGAACAAGGAACACAATATTTGGAATTCTTAATTTTAGAAGATTTTTAAGCAACATTGGGGTGAAGAGCAGAGAGAGAGGAGGTTTATCTGAATTTGACTACTGGTTTGACTATTTTAATTTTAATAAATATTGCTTGAACTAAAATATTTTTTAAAATTCAAAAGTATCAATTAAGAATCACTCTGATTTATAATAATATTTCAATAGCTAATAATTTTCAGATATATGAATTGCAGAATAGATACAACATTCCCTTGGCATAAAATTTCCTCTATCATCTCCATTTCCCATTTTTGTTTTTTACCCTGAAAAAAATTGTAGTGGTGTAAAGATTGCGCTGTGCCCAGAACATGTATTTTATTGAACAGGATCAGATACTGAATGTATGGAAATAAAAGACTTTGTCTTACTGAATTATTTAAAGAGACAACTTTTATTATAAGTTAAGAACTTAGTATGTATGCCTAATGTGCAAAATTTACATTTTCCCCCATTGAGTTAAATGTTTAGTTGTAAGGATAATTCTCATAGTACATAATGATGTTTTGGTTGTTTAAAAATTCTAGATAATCCATAATCAAGAGAACTTTTCCCCCTTTTATTGTCAGATGAATCTATTCTGGATGGAAAACATCCTGTAATTAATTTGCTTTTATTCTGCTCTTTGCCACCCCATCCCAGGAGTCTTTTAACATAACGCTAACCCAGCCTCTTTATCTTTCCAGAAACAGCATTTTTGTAATTCTGTATGGCACATGTGCATGGTGTTACACAGTGTCTAACAAAACTCCCTTCTCAAAAACACGAATTGATTTTTTTTGGGTAGAGATTCAGTTCCAAGATATTTCATTTGGTCTTCACATATGAATAAATTAAAGGTAAAAGGAATTTTAAGTGGCTGAAACTATTCCATTGAAGGTTAAAATTGACAACTTATTTTCCCTTCTTTGGTACAGCCTTGCTTTTCTTTATGGATCTCCATGTGAAGCCATTTTAATGAAAAATAATATGGCAAAGCACAAGGCAAACACATAAATCAAAACTTTTTCTCCCACAGTGACCTTGGGGCTCTCAATGAAATGTGCTCGCATGTCCCCAAATAATTTGCAAAATGACTTTTTCATGATTTTGATCACTTTCTGAGCTGCTGTCTCCATTTACCCAGGCAATAGCCTCATTTTTATGTGAGAATGCCTCTTGCAGGCGCAACATTAGGAAATCAAACTTTAATCTATATCCTTTGATTACGGGAAAAATATGAATGTAATTCACTTAGAAACCACATCATCTTGGGAGCCTTTAGTTGGAAAGTACAGCTAAGGTGTGATGTGTAGAAGTTTATATTTTTGTCTTTGAGGCTTCACTCAAATCTTGACTCCTTATTTCCCCAGCAGTGATGGCTGATGTTTGGCTTTGATTGCTTTAAAAAGTGACTTAGGTGTTTTTTTCTCTCTATTTCTAAGGAAGTGGTTTTTCACTGTTTAGAATTTGAAGACAATTGGTGGAATCCAGAAATTCAGCCAATGCCAACTAGAAAGGGAAATCTGAACTTGAGTTTTTAGAGCAATTTGTACAAGACACTGATTCCCCTCCCCTCCCCTCCCCCCTCCCCCGCCCCGGTTCTGCTTTATATAAAACTAGAGGCCCAGTGCACAGATTGGTGCACCAGTGGGGTCTCTCGGCCTGGCCTGTGTCCTCTCATAATCTGGGACCTCTCAGGGGATGTCAGAGAGCTGGTTTGGCCTGATCCCCTCAGGCCAGGCCGAGGGACCTCATGGGTGCACGATTGGGGATGGAGAGGGATAGGGACTGCAAGAGAGCTCCAGGCCGTGTCCAGCCCATCTTGCCCAGTCCCCATAGGCTGGACCCCAGCAGCAAGCGAACCCACCAGTTGAAGTGTCTGCCCCCTGGTGGTCAGTGCTCATCATAGCGACTGGTCAAACAAACAGTCAGGCACTTCGCATATTAGGCTTTTGTTATATAGGTAACTACACATTTATATTGTTTCTACTCATTTGTAACTTTTTAAGCCATCTATGTTTGCCATGTGAAAAGAAGATTAAATATAAATTTCTCATTTAACAAAATTAATAATTTATTTAGTTTGAGTTATTCATTAGCTCAAGGGCATGAAAGAGTTTAAGTACACTGACTAGGTAACATCTATCAACTACTAAATGCTAAACTTCATCGAGTGATAGAATATTGGATTTTAACCTTGCTGCTAAACTGTTTCAGTTGAAATGATTTCTCTATAGGAGCTGAGTGATAAGGCTTAACAGAATGGGAATATATTTATATTGTTTTCAGAGGAAGTTAAAATACAAGTTTAAGTGTTCAAATCACTAAAAACTCTTAAGTAAAGCTCAGAGTAAAAGAAATACAGGTACTTATTTTTTTCCAGATTCTATTTCCATGTTAGGCTTAAGATAAAAATTCACTTTTAATATCATAAAGTTGGTTTTCAGAACTTGTGGTAGAAATGAATATGCTTGGGCCCAGGGGTGAATATATATTAAGGTAATCTGTTTGCATTTTAGCATGAATATTTCAATTGTATATCTTAAAAACTTACAGCTTAGTAAATTTTATTTGCATCTAAATAGACTATAGGATAAAGTTCTGGAGGAAACTCTGTAATTGTCTAGGTCTTTCAGGATACTGGATGAATTATTGTCTGTTTACAGCTCTCATTTTAGCAGTTAATCATAGACTGCTTAATTGTTCACTCTAGAGCTGTGTGGTCTCCACAAAGAGATGTTGAAAACTGGAAAGAAAATTATGACATTGCTATAATATCCAGTGTGTAGGACTTGATTATATGATTAAAAACATCTAACCCTCTTTAGGTCAGCCTCTTTCTGGCTGCCTTTCCCTTAGGCATGGTATGAATTCTGATGGCTCAGGCAGGCCATGAAATCTGGGAAGGGCCCCCAAGTTCCAGTCCTTTGAGGACATTCCCAGAGGTCTACATCCAGTCTATCCAGTTGTGGCTGCTTAAAGTCATGGCTGCGAAGTTTTTGGCACGCCCACCACCCAAAGGTAGGGATCATGTGCCCGTCCCTTTTATTTGGGCTGGCTTGTGACTGCTTCTACCAGTGCATAGTAGAAATGACACAAGGTAACATCTGGGGCTGGATTATAAAAGATCAAGTTGCTTCTGCCTCATTCGCTCCTGGAGTCCTGAGCCACAGGCTACAGTGTCTGGCTACTCTGCCATCGCCATACAGGGAGATCACAGACCTGCTACACCAGTTCTTCAGTCGTCCTTGCCCAGGCACATGTGCACGAAGGCTTCTTGTGCATGAAGCTAGCCTGGGATTCTGCAGGGCAGCCGATCTGCCAGCTGAAGACTAGCGTCATCTTTGTCAGCCCTTCATGGAATAGAAGAATCACCGGCTAATCCCCACCCAAATTCCAGACCCTCCAAATCACCAACAAAATGTTTTTTGTCTTAAGTTAACAACAACTTGAAGTTTGGTATATTTTTTATGTAACAAGACATGACTATAACAATATTTTATTAGAAGGCAGCTTCCAAGGGTGGCTCCCACACCCTCAACATCAAATTTGGCCTTGTGGATCTTGGCTCAAACTCCAAAACCCAGGGTGCTCAGGGCTTTACTGGGGCCATGGTGCCAGCCTGCATCCAAGGTCCTCCGCCTACAGAAGACTGCTACGAGCTCCCCAGGAAGGGCCACATTCTTCTCTTACTCTTAAAACAAAACTCACTTCCCCAATGTGTCTCACAAAATGAGTTAGCTCTTCTCTAGGCAAGGAAATTCAGAACTCAAGGACCTTAAGACTATCTTGCTTAAAAAGAAAAGAGGACATTTCTCACATGCCCATGGCAGGAGAAACAACCATCAATAACCAATCAACCCCCCACCCCCGTTTACTTTTAATCTATATGTACCTTTATATTTAAAGTGAGTTTCTTATAGACAATATATAGTTGGGTCTTGTTTTTTGATCCACTCCAATGATCTATCTTAATTGGCCCATTTAGACCACTGATGCTCAAAGTGATTATTGATGTACTTGAATTAGTATCTAACATATTTGTTACTGTTTTCCATTTGTTTCCTTGTTTTTGTTCCTATTTTTGTTTTCCACACCTTATCTGCTCTTTGCAGTTTTAATTGAACATTTTATATGATTCCATTTTCTCTCCTTAGCCTATCAAATACTTTTCTCTAAAAATGATTGCCTTAGGTTTGCAATATATACTTACCATTAACCCCAAGTTCACTTTTTAAAAAATATATTTTTATTGACTTCAGAGAAGAAGGGAGGAGAGAGAGAGAGAGAAACATCAATGATGAGAGAGAATCATTGATTGGCTGCCTCCTGCACACCCCACACTGAGGACTGAGCCCGTAAACTGAGCATGTGCCCCAAACAGGAATTGAACCGTGACCTCCTGGCTCATAGGTCAACATCAACCACTGAGCTACATCGGCCAGGCCCAAGTTCACTTTTTTTTTTTTTTAAATATTTTATTGATTTTTTACAGAGAGGAAGGGAGAGAGATAGAGAGAGTTAGAAACATTGATGAGAGAGAAACATCGATCAGCTGCCTCCTGCACATCTCCTATTGGGGATGTGCCCGCAACCCAGGTACATGCCCTTGACCGGAATCGAACCTGGGACCCTTCAGTCTGCAGGCCGACGCTCTATCCACTGAGCCAAACCGGTTTCGGCAAGTTCACTTTTTAATACCAATACATTTCACCGGTTGTGTGAGTACCTTGTAATAACAAAATAATCCTAATTCCCCACTCTAGTTCCTTATATCATTTGTTATTTATTTCATTTATATGTAAACATACATAGGCATAGGAATATACATAAGCATATGTAAATACATTGTTGCTATTACTGTTTTGAACAAACTGTTATATGTTAACTCAATTAAGAAAAAGGGAAAAAAACTTTTTTATTTTATCTACACTTATTCTTTCTTTGATGCTCTTTCTTTACGTAGGTCTGAGTTTCTGACTTAGATTATTTTCCTTCTGTCTGTAGAACTTCTTTTCATATTCCTTGCAAAGCTGGTTTGTCAACAACACATTTCTTCAGTATTTGTTTGTCTGAGAACCTCTTTATTTCCCTTTCACTTTTGAAGGATAATTTCGCAGGGTAGAGAATTCTAGTTTGGTGGTTTTCTTTTGCTCTCAACAGTTTAGAAATTGCCTTTTCACTCTCTTCTTACTTCATGGTTTCTGAGAAGTCAGATGTAATTATTATCTTTGTTCCTCTATAAGTAAGGTGTTTTTTTACCCCCTTGGCTGCTTGCAGGAGTGTATCTGCAATGATTTTCTGTACTTTGAAAATGACATGCCGTGGTGTAGACTTTTAATTTTATTTTTTGCATTTATCCTGCTTGATGCTCTGTAAGATTCCTCAGAAAA